CCCACTTTTAAATATTACCAACGAACAGTTTGTCATTGGTGCTAGTTTATCACCCCCGCCGCTTCCCTTGTCAATGCCATACCTACCAATGTGCCTCAATCCACTCCTCCCCTCCCCATGCGGTCATACTTTACGTTGAGATCACTCATGGTGACCCCGTATGTAGGGTTGACGATCAGACTGGATTCAGCTTTAGCACAGAACTTTTAAAGTTTATCTTCGCAGCACAACTGGGAGATTCTGTGGGTTTATTGGGATTTAGGGGTGAAGGCTACGTTGGTTGGGAAGTCCGCATCATGCTGACGATAGGCTCAACCCAGCTAACATTATTCTGCCTTCCTGTGCCCGAAATTCTGCTTTTTCGCTCCGGGCTACAATATGTTCGGCCCATTATCTTGTTTTACTAATGCCCAGGACGTCGCATACTTCTCTCGAATTCCAGGACATGATTAGCGAATTTAACCCTTAACGTCAAATACAGTTGTAGACGCAGTTTGAGAGGTTCTATGCCGACATCCCTGTGTCACCTGACATTCGTAGCAGCCTCTTGTCCCTCGGCTACCAGTTCGCCACCAAGGGCCGAAATAATCAGCGTGCAGAATAACAGAGCCCGCTTTTGCTTTATTCATATCATTTTGTTCCACATACCAATCGTAAGACATACATTTTTGCTATGCAACTAGCTGCATGACCCTCACTGCATTACTGCCCGTTGATCAGGCTAAGAATGGCCCGTTATATTCGGACATAGCTAGATAAAATGCGGTACAGTGTCTTCTAGGCATGCCTGGGGGGCACAAAAATCCGTATCCTGCCGTACCAGACTCCGCTTAGTTCGTTGCCGCCCCATAGGCGTCCGGATCATAAATTTCCAGGAAGTGTTTGTACACCGGAAATCAAACACTCCTCAGGGGGCGCCCTTCTTAAACTGATTTCCTCACATAAAATAATGAACTCGCTATCTTTTATCATTATCCAGAAAAGCCGCATCAAAAAAATGATTGATGATTGATTAGCCCTCAAAAAATGATTGATTAGCCCTCACCGGAATGTAAACAAATTATGCAGTTATTTACGGAAATGCGACGGTTGCCGAGCTGAAGAACCGGGCTGTGAAGCAGCAGCTAATTCAAGTACACAAACTGAACTTTTTCTGTCGCATACAAAGAAAACGAAAAAGCATACCGTCTGCAGCAACAGCTGTAGCAGCATCCTCCCACCTCTTACGAGGTTTTCGAGTTGAAGCCGGAGCTGCACCGCTGCTTCCCGCACAGTATCCATTAGAAGGGCATGTCATTGCAACGCTCACACTAGCCAGTTGTAAATTTGAAAGTGACCGACTCGCCGTGCATGAATCTCCATCGCCGCCTGATCGCTGCTGACCGAGGTTCAACGGCCCGACAGATGCGCTGCCGTCCGCCTCCCCACCTCCTCGTTCTGCCGCTGCCGAGGGTTCCTCATCGAAGAAATCTAAAACGGAATGAACTGTTCGCTGTCCATCGTCTCAAGCGGCAATGCAGATAATCAAGAGGATCAGGCACAGACGGTGCGCAGTTATGGATCGGTCCCAACAACGAGCAGTAGCGGCAGATCGGCCAGAGGACAAGACAATCATTCACGGATGCTATCTTAGGTCCAGCAGTGTAGACAAATCCGCATAACAAAGCGTGGATTTGATCCGGGTTGTCCCCTTCCCTGCGTTCGGTCAAAAATAACAAAAAATATTATTTTTGCCCAATTTCCCTTGCCCTCAGCATCGCCTGTCACACTTCCTCTACTGTCAGCTATCAAACAATGCTTTCAGTGGTCCCATCAACGCTTTTTTGACCAACGAGAGCAGAGAGCAAGTTTCGATAAGCAAAAGTAGCACATGCACCCGGGG